CGGCGCGAGTCCGCCCCGGCCGTTCGCCGGTCCTCGCCGCGGCCTCCCCAGCCGGTCCGACCCCCTCTCCCATCACGCTGACCTCTTCAAAAGAAACCCTAGGGCGCACGCCCAAGGAACTTCCGACCTCCCCAGGGGTCCCCTCAACCCCAATCGCCACTCCCTTTCCTCGCCTGACCGAGTTCTCAGCCGTGTTGATGGCCGCCGTTGACGGCGTCGGTGAACCCGCCGCCGCTGGAGGGTTAGTGTGAAGATCCATCAATTTCTTCAACATTTCCTCCAAGTTATTGAACCGTCCTTCCACATTGTTGAATCTGTCCTCCATGGCAGAAAATCTTCCTTCTGTAGTTGTCTTCATCTCCTCAACCTCAGATTCCAATCTTTCTCCAAGAGCATCCATCTTCTTGGCAGCCATCTCCCCAGGAAAGAGCTCTGATACCAATTTGATAGAAATCAAATTGGAAATCAAATAGAAATTGAAAGAAACAAATGACCTTTGATTTGAGAGTTAGGCCACACATCTCCAATAATCTCTAATCTACTGCTAATACTTTCCAAAACATGCATGAGAAACCCTAATCTTCCCCTAACAACCTTCTTAAACTCAGTCTCCCACTAATGACCTTGTCAATTTACCAAACTGCCCCTGTTCTTAATTCTTAAACCTACGCCTATAATACGTTTTCAGCCCCTCTCTTCCAAGTCTAACATGTGCATGCATTGCCATTTTAATTTGTTGTTATTTTTTCTAATCATTTCTCAAAAATATGTTCTCTCTTTTGAATGATCATTTGGATTTACACATTACAAAGCACGCTCATTTGCATGAATTCTTATATCAACTCGTTTTCTTTTACTTACGTAATGGTTCTCTATTTGTCAGTTCCAGTAACTGAGTTTTTCTTTTCACCGTTCACTAAAATAGAATAAGAATTGCTACATATTTTTTAAAATTGCGTATTAGCTAAATCCATCTAATGTTTTCCGAATCTCCTGCTTTTACAGCAAAGGAGTTTGCTCCTGATTTAACCATCATATCAGCAGGATTTGATGCTGCACGAGGTGACCCTCTAGGTTGCTGTGATGTAAGGATTTGCTTTACTAGCTCACTGTTTGAAATTTCATTTGGATAAACACTATAGTTACTATTAAAATTTGCTGGTTTTCTTATGCGTCGCAACTGGAATGACATCAGTGAACCAACAAGATAGGCAGCTCTGTCAATAGCTCTCCATTGATTAGTCTACTTTTTCTATATATTTGATGCTTTAAGATTTATTAACACGTTAGTGATATCATTTCCTGTCTTGATTTTAGTGTTTCAGTGTTTAAAATTTCATAACATCTATAGGTTTCAGCAGTCTTATAGTATAAGAAATTCTCTTGTTACAGGTCAGTCCTGCTGGCTATGCAACGATGACAGAGATGTTGAATGACCTTTCGGGTGGAAAGTTGCTTGTTATTCTGGAGGGCGGGTTTGCGACTTATCTTTTGATAGTTGGTTCACTGTCAGTTTTAATTTTTTTTTCACTTAGCTAAGTTCAATTGGTAATGTATCTGCTTACAGCTATAATCTTCGTTCAATATCGTCTTCTGCTACTGCAGTCATTAAGGTGCTCATTCTTTATATTCCTGAGAGCCTCATTTTTGTTATTATTTGTAGCTGGTTGTTTGAATAGATGCCTTTTTTTTTTCCATTTAATCTGCTTTCAATCAATCTCCATCATTAAGTCTGATACTGTTTTGTGCAAGGACATTGGGTTCGTTTGGTTGGAAGATTTAAACCATGTGATTCGAACCATTTTTTATTTACGTGTATTTTTTATGAGAGAAAATACTATAGCGAACCACGAATCATGATTCGAATCAGAGAACGAATCCCTCTACCAAACACCCCCTTATTGATTATTGTTTGACATATCTATCCATTTGTGAAGGTATTGCTCGGTGAAAGTCCAGAATGTGAATTGCAGAATGTATTACCCTCGAAATCTGGTCTCCAAACTGTTCTCGAGGTTGTTAAGATTCAGATGAACTACTGGCCTACGCTGGGATCCAGCTTTGCCAAATTGCAGTTACAGTGGGGAATGTACTCACTTGAGAACAAAAGTGAGGATCTCTCGCTTTGAAGAAAAAATGGAACAGAGAAGAATATCTTTTAGACAAATTTCTATTAGTTATCTAACATGAAGGAAGAAATTTCATTTTCTTAGAAATAAATCGGATTTCAGTTTCATATTTACCAATTCCCATACAATTCTTGATTGCAGGAAAGCAAATGAAAAAGCGGCGGCGGGTCTTGGCACCAATTTGGTGGAGATGGGGGCGGAAACGTCTGTTTTATCATCTCTTGAATGGGCATTTTCATAATAAAAGGAAGAGTTTTGGCTGATTCCTTGAATCAGATCGATATGCAGGGTCCCATTGGCCATTTCCGAGGGTATTTGGCATTTTTTGTACACCATCTAGTATCGGAGAATCTTTTTTCCTTTAACCAGGCTGTTCGAATGTACTTGTATCTGCAGCTTTTGTTTTGAGAATTCCCACCCCGTTTCCCTTTTACCAATACCTGATGAACAAAGCTTAACCCAAAGTAGTAGTTTGGAGCTCTCTCTCTCTCTCTCTCTCTCTCTCTCTCTCTATATATATGTATATATATATATATATATATGACACACACACACAAACACCATCTTCGTGCTGTTTTCTTGCCATTTACTTTCTTGGAACAAATATTTTAAATTCTCTGCTAAATCTTGGTAAAACTTTAGTGAACAATGGACCTAACTCTTAAAGGGTAACTTGCAATGGTTTCACACGCCAAAATTATAAACGTTGAGCAACAGTTCTCGATCAAGAAGAAAGTTCTCTATGTACAGTACTGAGCAACTAAAAAAAGAACAAAAATCAAACTTTTAACCAATAATTTATCTAATCAATGGAAAATTAATAAAACAGGACTCTAACATCCCCCTTGAATCTTTGGTATTTATTCCTTCCCCTCTTTCATAATCAGCCAAAGATGGGCCATCTCTGTCTGTCCCATGTCATGCACATTCTGAATGAAATTTGATGTGGTTAGCAATACAAACAAAGGTCAGAATGCAAAGGCACCATTGGGAAAAATAGAGCTTTTGGCCCTAAATTGTTAATCATTGTTATTGGTGCATTGTTGGAGGTGCCATAGGGTAAGCAACTGGGACAATGTAGGGAGGGGGGTGATGATGAGGATGATGATGCGGATGAGGATGGTGCCCTGGAGGAAGCATGACGGGTGTCCCCACGGCTGAGCCCATGTGCCCGGGCGGCGCAGCCACTGGATGCCCCATCGGTGCACCGTACATGCCTATCCCAGGCACATGGGGCTGACCCCGGTGCTTCACCAGCTGTGGAGCTCCCATGGCCGGTACACTTGACTGGTTAGTATTGGCCTGTTGTCCAGTGATTGGTGGTGCCTGGTGAGGAGAGACTTCCCCATTTGCCACACTGGTGATGTCATGGATGCTGGATCTCCTTCTGTCTCTGTTCACTGAATTGAGCCGAATGAAGTACTTTTGTGCGTGGCTGGCCACTTGAGTTGGAGTCCTTGATATCACAAAATTCCTTGAAATGCTTCTCCAATCCCCTTTGCCAAACTTGTCGAGACCCAGAAGGAATAACCTAAAAAATTGAATTAAAAAACAAAAAAAAAAAAACATATGGTTTCAGTCTATCAGTCACAGTATGCTGTGTGTCAAAATAACCAGTCCCAACCACACAAAAAAACAGCTCATTTCCTCACTACCCCCACGCATTTTCAGTCTAAAAGGTTCATTTATCAACTCAGAATATAAACAATAGATGAATTCATATTGTTAATTTTTACTACATAAAGAAATAATAAAAAAAACCAAGTTAACCCAGATTCTGTTATTACAAGGCACAAATTTCAAGGTTCCATTTTTCTTTACTTTAAATACTCATAACCCATGAACTGAAAAAACCACAGATTTTTCCCATACTTTAGGAAAAAGTGGCAGATTTAATAAAAAAATAACCATGAACTTAAAAAAAAAAAAAATTTATTATTATTATTATTGGGCAATAGTCACAACAATACCTGTGCTCTTCCTCAGTCCATGGAATGCCTTTCCTTCTCTCTTGCTCCGCCCTAGAGCCTCCTTTGCCGCCGCCATCATGCCCGGCAAGGCCCGAAGAAAACCCACTTCCATGGCCGGCAGAAGAATTACCATTCAATCTCTTCTCAGACCCAGAAACGACATGATGAGAATCCTTGCTGGGATTGTGTCCATTGTCGTCCACTGCGTAGTTGGGAACCGGGATGTGACCGGCTTCGATTGCATTAACGTCGTCAAGGAGCATTTGGAAGTGTCGTTTGAGTTCCTCCATGGATTTGCTCGGAACCATGGAAGCAATCTTATCCCATTGTTCTTTTGAATCTTCTTCTTCTTCTTCTCCTTCTTGTTTCTCTTTCCAATGCATGGCTATGGCGTTCTCAAACGCCTTCTCTTCTTCTTTGCTCCAACTGGTAGTTGTAGTACTTGACATGGTGTGGCGTTTGTTGATTTGGTCTTTGCGAGTTTTGGGGCTTTTCGAGGAGAGTTTTTATTTTATTTTTGTTGTTGGTGGAATGTCATGGGAATGGTGAAAAGGATACAAAAATGGGATTTTTTTTTTTTCAAAATTTTCATTTATTTATTTATTTTTTTGTGTGGGGTTGTTTGTTTGTTTATTTTATTTTATTTTATTTTTTTGTTTGGGGGGGGAGTGCGCAGGATAAGGGAGGGGAAGGGGGACAGAGGGTGTGTGTAGGATAAGGAGTGAGGTTGTCGAACTATCAATTGAAGAGGACCACTTTGGAATTGAAGGGATGGGTTCTTTGTCATGTTCATATCATGCTTACAAAAGTTCATTGTAGAGAAAATTCTCTCTCTATATATATCTGTGTGTTTGTTTGTGTGTGTGTGGGGGGTGGCTATGGTATTTTTTTTCGTTAATTTACTGTACTCAGACGTATGCAATCATAGAGGGGTGTAAAAGGATGGAAACTTGAGGCCCATAGAATCTTTCCAACTCTCTAGCCATATATATAGATATAATTTCATGGTGGGTATCAAAAAATGCCTTACTAGTTTCATTAATAAATTAAAAAAAAAGTCCTTCAAAAAAAAATTAAAAAGATATGATTTATAATGGTACCATAATATTTTTTATACCTACACATACACAAGCATCTGTCATATGGTAATTGGCAAAAGAATAATCTAATATTCAACCAATAAAAAATACACACAAAAAAAATCTTACTACAGTCCGGAACCAACAAACTTAATGAAGATCTAAGTAGTTTTTTCATACTATATCAAAAAATTTTCTATAAATAAAATCATTAATTACGAAAATTCCTCTTGAATTATACTCGTTGCAACACTTTATTATCTGATCTTTAAAACATAACATTTGTTTTCTCTAAACAATGAAATATTAATAAAAAAAAGTCTCATCCATTAATTTTTTAACTGAAATTGACATTTAATTTATTATTTTAATAATTTTATGGTTTAAAATATAATTTGAATTTATCAAAAAAACTTTACATTCAATCAATAATAGATGTATCATAATTAAAAATTTATATATTTAAATTAATTTTACATTTAAACTAAATTTTAAACCATAAAACATCCAAAATACCCCAAATAACAAATTAAAAGTTAAATGTTGTTAAAAAAAAAAAAAAAAAAAAAAAAAAAAAAAAAAAAAAACCTAACATAAGGGCTTTTTTGTTAACATTTTATTTGTTAGGAAATAGATGTTATGTTTTAAAAATTAGAGGGTAAAATGTTAAAAGGATATAATCCTTAAGGGGAGATTTTGTAATTAATCCTAAATAAAATGATTCATTAGGTACTAGAATCAATGTAAGTACTATAATAAAACATGTTAAAATATGTAAAAGGAATCATTTTTTAGTAGGACATATATATGTATATAATATATATATATATATATATATATATAATAGTATCGGTAGATTAATGGTCTAACCGGATCATGTTCCTACAAAGCAAAGGATCGTATACAATACTTGAATTCTCGAGGTAGATGCTACATAGTTGGTTCTCAATTATGTAACTTATTGTATTTTATTTAATCTTAAAACTCTACATAATTAATAGAGATTATTTCTAGTAGGCTTCTTTAAGGTAGTATCAATTTCTTACCGTTGAATTTGATTAAAATCACATCAAATTAAAAAAAAAATACGGAGAACGGACACAGTTTTTTATAGAGATCTAACTACTAAAAAATAAAGAATTATTAATAACTCATTTTCTTTTATCTTACAAAGAAACTTCCTAATTAATATGATAATTAAAGATTATGTCCTATTGACACGGTGATTTTCATATCCTACTATAAAGTTCTACTGTATTATGTTATCGCTTGTACTTATTGCATGGAGAATAAAAAATCTGCAATTCTCTTTTTTATTTTCTTTACCAGCACTATTACTTTCTTTGTTACTTTTTTTTCCACCCTTTTTTTTTTTTGGTTTAACAGCTCTTTATTTAAAATTAAAAAAAAAATCGAAGCGCCCTCTTTTAAAAGTATTAAGTGACTAAACAGATAACTTTTATCAAATTTGGATTAGAAACGTTTTTTTTTAATAGGAAATTGTCTGTTCTTTCATCTTTCTAAGATGCAAAGTTGAAGTCAAATTTCATATCCAAACTTTTTAAGGAAGGAATTTAACTTTAAAATTATTCTAAAAATAGTTGACAATTGAATTTAGTTAGAGTGAATTAGGGAAAGTGATTTTTGCCCCTTCCCTGTATACTTTATTTTTGTACCCCTCACGATTTAAAATTTATGGGTGTAAAGAAAAATACTAATGGGAGAGGAGCATTCCTTGCCTCCGGCCACCAATTTTCATCCAAGAGCTTGTTGTCAGATCCCGAGTTTAGTGTGGGATTTGCGCAACCTGTAGAGGCTTCGATATCTTTGGTGTTTTGATGTTTAGGCTTGTGAATCTTTCATCTAACATTTGTTGTAAAGCTTATTGTTACCTTGATTAATTTGCATTGTTGTCTTGTTTATTTAGTGTTTAGTTGTCCTTTTTGCCTGCAAGATTCATTTCTTCACAGTTTTTGTGGCCTTATTGCTATGAGTTTTTCGACTTTCACATGACAATAGAAGATCTATTAAAGAGTCATGTTCGTGCACAATTTTGTTAATACATTTTTGGATCGTTTTCTTGTGGAACCGATACACACTATTTTCTCTCCATCTTTATTACAAATTATTGGCTGTTTATCAACACCATATTTCGTGTAATAGAGGCTATGTACATGGATTGATATTTTATTATCTTTTCGTGATTTGAAAATTTTTTTCCTTAGAAATAGCATAAAAAAAACTTTTTTTTTCTTTGGAAAAAAGTACATGATTTGTCATAATTTTGTACAAGCTTATAATTTATGTCATTTTAAATAATTAAATATTATTACATCTTTTTGTTTTCTCTCTATTAATTGAATGGTAATTGTTTATTTTTAATTGAAGTGACATATATAATATTTTTTACATCTTGAGTAGTATTTTTTGTTTTTTTGTTTTTGTTGAAAGGTAAAAGAACCCGATTTTCAAAGACAACATCAGGTTGATCATTAATGAGAAAAATCCTTACCGGTAGACCTCCAATAAGAACTGCGAATTGAAGAACAATTTCTTCCAGTTCAACCAAATAAAGCAAATCCGGAAAATTTTCTCCACAATGCTATGCGCACTCCTAATTGACCATATAATCTCTATTTCTCTGAAAAAGTCATTCGAAATGTCTCTCTTCACATTCCAAATAAGGATCTTCATTTAGGAGACTTCGAAGATCATTATCACCATGCGCTTTTTTTTTCCCTTTTCTTTTCTCTTTTGGCCCACTATTCTTAAATCATAAACTATAATTCAACTTTCAATGTATTTGTGCCAAGGAAATTCCTCTCTAGATTCTTTACAATATTTAGTTTTTTTCAATAATGTTAGTAAATTGGTTAAGGTGGCATTTGGTTCATGAGTTCAAATATAGTCCATGATTTTGATTTTTAAAATTTAAATTTTTTTTAAGAGAAAAACACTGTAACGAATCAAGAACTATGATCCAAAATCAGAACCCTCGAAACAAACAGAGCATGATTGTTCCTCTTGACTTGCACTGAATCTATTGGCATTAGCAGCTAGTCCTGATTGCATCACTAGAACGAGAGTATAGGAATATGTATCCAGCTCATTTTTTATAAAGACAAATCATCGTACGTCCTGTTCATCAAGGTTTTCAATCATGGTTTTCAATCATAATGGGACGCAGACGGAGCATAAGATAGATCGATGTTAATCTAATGATCGAGCGAAGTGGCCAAGAGCACCGTCAAAATTTGCCCGGTCATGTCTTCGCCGATGGAACTCCAATGCCCTTGAGCTATTTTAAACAAAATATTGGTATGCCGGTATTCTAAACCTAATTCATAGAGCCAACCCAAACCTAAGCATTAGTAGTTTTCTCTCTGTAGGATTTAGAGTTCTGCAGGTTTCAAATCAATGATGCTCGTTGTCTAAGGCCGCTTTAGACTGATCCTCGCGAAAAGAAGATTGAATGTTGAAAAAGCATCGGCCAACGGAGACGGTCGAGTTTCAAATTGATTTTTGATACCCCAAACTTGCGTTAATTTGTCCTCTAGATCTAGTATTTTCAAAGGTTGATCACCATTATAAAATATATATAAAAAAAAAAAGAAAAAAACACTGCCAATCAAGTAGAATTTGAAGGTTTTAATGCGTTCCTCGTAAATTTGTTGATTTTTATTTTGGGAGGGGAAACATTTATTAATCTATTTCGCTTGAAACAATATCCCCTTATGAACTGGCTAATGTAAGGGACAACTGAAACCAATGTGAAGGGACAACTGAAGCTAACGAAGTTTGATTTTTATATATATAAGGTATTTCAAAGGTATCACTTGTATTTTATTTTATTTTATTTTTTTTTTGTGTGTCACTACTCATCAAGTTCTTCTACTAGTGATTATAATCATATAGTTACCAAGAGTTATGATGGTGTTTATGTATTTTAATAAAATTCGTGCACATTAATCTGTATTCCTATAATTGCTTATGGTATATGTACTATAAAACAAAATAATTGAAACTAGTACGTACATTTCGTAAATTATTTTTTATTATCGCTATAAAAAAAATAACCCATTTTTAATTGTCTTTTCATGGGATTTTTGCAACCAGAGGATCCATTGCAGATTCAACGGCAAACCCTAGGCTCCCATGCACGTGAATTTTGCCAGACTGAAAATTAACTATTTGTAAGACCCGTTTGATACCATTTATCCATTATTTTTGCAGGTTCAAAAGAAGCTTAAAAAAAAAGATTTGAAGGACATTTTTGAACATTTTACAAGTTTTTTTCTCTCCTCTCTTCTTTTTTCTTCCGTAATTTACATGAGTTTCTTACGTAAGAAGTACAGTTTTCACATATTCTTTTTTGGGCTGGCCTAGTCACTTTTTTACACAACTTGCTGGCAGGAGAAGAAGCATTCTCCATTTCCAATCCTTGTAGATGCAAATTATGTATTCTGTTTTCGGTGTTCAAAAAATCAAATAAATTTTTATAATTTATCAA